GAAACGTTGGTTAACATCGACCAGACTACACAGCACAACAACCCGGAAGACAGAAATATTCAGGGTACTTCTTGACTACCTAAGCCACTTTTACATTTTAAAGTAATCTGCTAATTGCAGTCAGTCACCAGATGGAAAATGTGCGTCGTAACAAAAAATAGCCTAGTGCCTATATGACTGACGTGATCGATCTATTTGTGCACAATTTTCTGATATCTGTATAATCGATCTTTATATTCAAATGATTAATCGCATTTCTCTCATACAGAAGTTACACATGTAAGACATTAATTAGCCCCACCGTCGACATTCAGAATTGACTGAACCCACATTTTGCGTACAGTGTACTCACATTCTCAATTATACAGACAAGGCTGATGGTGCTGCCCTCTCCGATGTGATATTCCCCGCTGCCGAGGATGAACGCAGAGGGAACCACGACGTGCAGATTGAAATAGTGCGATATTGTGCCAGCACCAGTGGCTACCTGCAACAAATTTCCATGTCTAGTCGATCAAGTGTTACTTGGCCCGAGTGGATAGGCTACTGCAAGCGTATTCCTTGGGAATTACTGCCTTCGAATTCAACTGCAGCGCCACACGGACACTACCACAACCATTATTGGGTTTACAACGATTTTCTTTTGTTCGGACGGATTTTCGTTTATTGAAGTGCCATGTGGATTGCGAAATATTATACATACAGATAAAGGAAAGGCGAATATGTGGAATAAGTGTCTGAACATGACACATCCTTTAAAAGTTGGTGTGTGCGTCGGACATTTAATTACGAAACAACCGAATACAAATAGATTGTAATAATTTAGAATACAATTTTTTTATATTTTTACCTTATAATATAAAATATGTCATAAATTCTACAGCACAGCATACAAAATAAATATTTATTATATTCTTTACATTTTTTAAAAAAAAATTAACCTCAATGTAATATTACACGGACAACGAAAATCGAAGAAAACAATATTTTCAAAAATATATTATTCATTTTATTAGTTCTAAAGTAAAGTTTAATTTCGTAGTAATATTTTCAACAGAAGGTTTTTACATATCATGACATAGTTCGCATAATAATTGTCTTTATTTTGACTTCCCATTTTCACACGTCACAGATAAACTAATAGGCTCAAATGAGCGTAAAGTGTAACTTCGGCGCAACTCGCATCTGTACACCGAAACTAAGATTCTGCTCATTACAGCACAAATAAAGTTAGTCTTCTTCTTCTTCTTCTTCGTCGAATAGCTCCTCCTGAAACAAACTTCCTGGTTTCCTTACACTTAATGCGCGCAAGGGCTGCTGGTTTATATAACGTATCCGTGATTTTACTTTTATTATTTTCGGGCACTCGAGGTCGTCAGAGGAACTGGAGAAATCGTTTCAAATGGCACGAAACTTTATGGGAATGAGGATGAAAAGTTTTCACTGACGTCTTGTTGGTCTGTCTTTATGACAGTCAATTTTTAACCTTGTTTAGCTTCAGAAGGTACAGAAGAAGAATATGGAACATCCTCACTTGGTACTGGACTGGAACACTGCTCCCCGATTTGTTTCCTGATAGGTTTATTTATGGTCAGCAGAAACGTACAAGAAGTCTTCAAATACGTAGCATATATCTGTGTTAACTGGCCAAATGTCAGTTTCCCTGAAACCACATTCAAAAATCAAAATATGTGCTGCATTCCCACACGCAGTGGAGAATTTAAGGTCATCTGGCATTGTGCAACAGTTCTTGCAGGAGTTGTCTTCAGCCACTTTCAGACATCCTGATATAACACGTCTTCATCTAAAGGTTGGTGTGTGTAGAAGCAACATCTTGACAGAATTTCCTTTTGCAAAGGGAACATATTCACATGTTCATAGCAATGAAGACTTCCAGACTGGGCTTCACAAACGACGAAAAATTCTTAAAACATTGCCAAGACAAAGACGACTTTTTTCTGGGGTTGTAGCGATGTTTAGTCTGGTAGACGTTTCCCAGTGTTTCAGAGGACTCTGTCGACTCCATTATCAGGGAACTGAGGCGTCTTCGTGCTTACCACCATGAAAGCCTGAAGTCCTACTTTACAATAAAAACTCTTCAATCGGTTTCAGGAACAATTCTTAAAATTCCTACAGGAGCAAGGCAAAATATCGGGGTTTCGGTTTTCAAATCCTACTACAGAGCTCCATCCACCCTTTCTTTTTTCATGGATGAATCTATGTTCCAGTCCTTTCTTTTCATCCAAATGAGGAGAGAGCTCTCTTACGTCGGTGTATGTAAAGCCAAACAAATGTGACCCCAGAAGTTTCAAATGACCAACTAGTTCACGCTTGAAAACGGCTTATTCCATGAATATTTTGCTTTCGTTCGTGGCTCGCCTACGAAACGCAGACTACGGGACGCCAGACTTTAATAAGCTCAAGGACAAACCACGTCTTATTTGTTTAATAGGTCTTTGCTATAAAATTAAAATTAGAGAATAAAATGTAGCAATAACTACAATGTAAATAATTTTATTTATTCTTACACGTTAAACAAAAATAAAAATTAAGAAAGTTAATATAATATTTGAAATATGTAAATCTATGTATAATTTAAAACATTCAGATATCCAGTAAAAATTTAGGTCCAACATTTCAAACGTACTTTATAGTAAAATGAGACATTATGTAATTTTTCCCTCGATCGAGGGATTTCATTTTAATGAGAATATAATATAGTGGTTTAAATTTGCTGTCCAGTTAACAGTTGGCAATATTTTATATTTTATAATTGCACTGATTACAAGAAATCTAAATGTATGAGTGTGAAATTATTGAACAAGGTTATACGTTCACTAGTTTTATCCAAAGCGACTGGTAGCTGGTGAAGGAAGGCTTGATTAAGTCAAGATTAAAACATCGCTTCTGTCTTCCTGCGGAATGTTCTCACATTCCCTCCACCAACAGAGGCACACTCTGACGAACATAAAATTCACTGCAAGTGGTATTTCCCTGGAAACACACCTGTGACATTTTACCACGGAATATCATTTCAGGTTCTTCTTCCGTACGAAAGCTGACATTGCGAGCTCGAACGCCTCACGATTTGTACACCGCCAATATTGGGGTTAAAACGGGGCTGGTGGTTTGGATACAGTGGAGACTCGGTATAACGCGGGTTTCGAGGGGACAGCTTCAGTACCCGAGTTATATATGAAACTACAAAGGGGAAGATCTCCAGATAGTGCATAAAGTTAGCAATTACTTTGGAGCTCATGTGTGTTCGTCCGATTGTTTCGATGACACTGGAATTTCACAGTAAAATTTGTGGGTAAAGGCATAATTTAACTTAAACTTTAACGAATAACTATATATGATAAACATAAGGAGAATAAACGTTGGCTTGTATGTACAATGGGACAAAATTTACATCCAGGCCAGTAAAATAAAGAACGCATTTATAAGACTGGACGAGTCGGCTACAAATAAATTCATGAGACATAATAATTTAACTGGTATCCCTTCAAATCTTACAATACATCAGAGACTG